TGTTTGTGACCTCAGTAGTTTATGGAAAACAGCTACTCTGGGATGGGGGGAGGGGATTTTGGGACGAGTTTAGTCTATTACAGGGTAGCAAAATCCACTTGAACGAGCTCTAGTAGAGGATAAGGGTTCCAGGGTCCCAGCGGCACATCCCCACCCAAAAATCCCTAAAGTATCCCCCCAGGATTGAAACCCCTTGAGGTTCCTAAATTTTCTCAAAAAGGAAGGAGAGATTCTGGTACAAACCGTTAATCCCTTCCATCTCAAAATTTCACGACCGAGTGTAATGGCTTTTAACCACGTCTAATAATATGTGTTCTTAGCAGTGAACTTTTTATAAAGGTGATCTCGTAACTTGGTAAGCCCAAAGAAAAACAAATGCAGTAAAGGTAAAACCACGAGCAGAAAAAGGACCATTAGGCCTCCAATCCTCGGTTCGAGGTGGTTGTAATTCAGGGGTTCATAGATGTATTGCTTCCCTTCAACGTTGGTCCCACCCAATAGCCAGTAAATGACAGAGAAAAGGATATACACAATGAAGTACAGAAAGACATAGAAGCAATGGATCAGACGTACTGGGATGCAGCTTAGCCAAATGTCGATAACCATGAATACGGAATTGAGCAGATGCTTTGTAATGTTGTTTGCATCGACTTTTTCATTGCCCTTGAGCACCGTCCAGTACCCCACCGTCACAATCAGGCCGCCTGTAGATGAGATTGTGTGTAGGAGCCAGAGTAACTTGTGTTGCCACTGCAAAGCATCTTTCTCTCGTGTGCCCACAAGTGGTTCATCAACTTCGTCTCTGGACTCCACTGCCATCTCCAACGCGGATGTCTCTTTTCCCCGTTTCTTTTTCACGTCTTTGAATAAGGCAATACAGGGCAGAATCGTTGCCACAATAAAATAGACGTTTAGCAGAGTAAAATTCCAGTTTGTCAGGTAGATGAAAAGTTTACCTCCTCTCCTGCAAATGTTGTAGATGAGCCATGCAAAAATGTAAACTAGGACGATGAGGCGATAGGCAATGAATACTGGTAGTGGAAGCCACTACAGAAACAAAAGCAATCATTTCAGCAACATTACGGCTTCATTTCCTAAATTGACCGTCATATCTCTGGCCATTAAATAAAAAATGGTGAGTAAACTTAATTTTTAAAAAACGAGACAAAACCCCCTGCTAACACGATTATCCCTCCGTCATTTGAACAAAAACAGGGTCGGTATAGTCAACCAAGGCAGTAAACTTTCCACTCGGTCAGTACTCTGTAGTTCTATCTAGTCCCTAATGTCTCAATAAAATCAGCCTTTAGTTACTTTTGTGGTAAAAGAATGTCTTGATTATAATATTGAACAATAGAACAAATGACCAAACAGTTACAACAATTTTATATCTCTCCTCGAATTTCGAATCACTGTGAACGATCGAACTTTAAAAATTCATTAGATTATTGAAAAAATGTTCCCCTGCATTACGTGTGGGTGTTGAATTTGTATAGATTGATTGGTAGGTTTTCAAGCGCACTACAAATAAAGGTATTGACTAATATAGGGAAGAACATATTAGATAGGTGTGTTCGCTGCAGTAAGATACTAATGGCCATGGTTAATAGGCACCGTCTCCTTCTTCCTCCCTCATCAAATATGTTTGACCGATTTTTCATGACAGAGAACCAAGGTTTTAAACAAGTTTATAATTACACAAAGCAGAACGAAAACTTTGTATTTGAGCCGGGAGCGTGATTAATTATCTATGCAACTGTAAAATGTGTGAAAGAAAGTGAGTCAAATTGCAAATTTTAATGCGGGAAATACAAACCTTTGAGTCACTGAAGTCACGACGGACCAAATGCCACAGCCTGAAATGTTTTAATTGAAATTCTTCCCGAAACATGCTTATAAAAGAAGCTCTGATCGATGCTTACATACGTGTCGTTCCCTTGCTTTAAGGAATAATTTGCATTTATTTTTTTTCTTTAACTCATGTCAAGACAGAATGCTAATTCAAAACCCACTTAGCCGAGCAAATTATGTATTATTATTTTTAAAAGCCCTGTTTTAAGTGACTTAGTAGTTAGTAGAACTTTGAGATACGGAGAATTTACCGATGCCTGCAAAATTTAGCTATCAGGACCGTTTTTTTAAATACTATGGTTCAAGGTATTTGATATATAGAGGATATTGCATGGTCGCGCGGAGATACGAAATTTCTCTTCCGTTCGAGTGCATGGTGACAGGAGTCCATAGCCCAGAACGAGCAACTTCCATACGCTCACGTCACGGCGTTTTCACGGATTAGTTTGTTTTTAGAACGGTTTTGGCGCGAATTTTGAATATCTTTTAAATTCGACAATCAGTCTGCAAAACCTATAGACATAAAAATGATCATTTTTCTGCCTTGTAATAACCTTTAGTTTTCTTTTTGATATCATATATGCTTCGAGGGGCTCGAAGATTTGGTGGAGATTCTATTTTCGAGGAAAAATATGCCCTAAAATGGGTCTTAAAATAAACAGATCCGTAAAAAGATCTAAAAACGCCGTGACTGATAGGCCTAGTATGGGTGTTGCTAGCTCCGGTTTATGGGCTCCAAGTGGTGCCACCTCCCTAAGTTTTTTTTCTGATTTCTTTTTTCCCAGACGAGAAAAAATCAGAACCTGAAGTTTTCTGTTGCTGATCACTTATTCCTCGCGCGCATTTTGAGACAAGTTTAGTGATGGTCAGTTACTATGGTAACGAGATATGACGTCATAAGTAACAGATTGTCAAGCCATTTTTGAGTGGAAACGCATGTTTTTTCACCTTCTTTCAGGAATAAAACTAAAGCTTGTGAATAAAATGATGCAAAGTAATTATTTATCTGTTATTTTACATGTTAAGCGCAAAACGTTGTTAATTTTTACTGTCTTTACCCGATTTCTAATTCGTGAAAAAATCCAAGATGGCGACCAACTTTTTTGGTGACGTCACAGGCTCCAACAGCGACACCACCAATAACATATACCTCATCTTGTAGAGAAGATCAAAAGCTTTCCACTGAAGGCAAAATCGTTTCGAAGTACTGCAATATTTCAAAAACTCAAGGGGGGGGGGTCCATCAACCCCCCTTCCCCTTGTACCACGGTGGGGCTATGACTTTGCCTGTACGTCCGACGGTTAACAGAGGGAAGCTAAAATAGGAAATTAAAGTGAAGGGTTACTCATGGCCGCACAAGACCAGGCATTGCGAACTCGGCTGGTTTTTAATCAAGTCCTTCTCTAGACTCCACCGTGATCTTCGCCGGGGATGTTTCTGCTATGCTGTCGCGACCGTTGCTTTTTTCACGCCTTCTTATTAGGCAAATAATTCAGGACAGTAATCCACTCTAACTGAGGCTACTCCCGCAATGCCGATAATGCCAATAAGGTCCCTCTCGGCCAATTCGCTCTCTCCAGTCCTGCCGAGCTTAGACTCGACTGACTGAAGAGGGACTGCTCGCAGTATAGGGAATAGTTGGCTTGGTTAACCTTCTTACCAACCTTATAGTCACTTTCGTGCCACTCGCGAAACAATGGAGAAAGATCCAGAAGGTCAACTAAGTGATCAGTCAGATATTCCAGCAAATAGTGAGGTCGTTATAAATTGCGTAGTGTCGAAAGATAATCTATGAAGATGGTGTGGTCTGAAAATTACTACTCGTCCTTCTCGTTGTGCATGCAGGAATATAGAATGTACTAGTATTAGTGTGTGCTTAGCCTGCGTAGCATGGCGGTTTTGCGTGGTTTTGTCGAGAGCACGACTGAGCGGCGAAGCAACTCCCGTACCAGTCTCCTGGCCCACGCCCGCTTTTATTACATGTATTTAGCGCGCCCAAACCGCCATGCTACTAAGGCTAGTTAGGCTTGGATGAATTCTGTTCGTAAATTGGCTTATTCTCATGCCGGCATTTCTCGTACAAATCTCTTATTCTGCTCAAATTCTGCTCGAAAAAGCCTTATTCTGCCGGCAGAATGCTGCCCTCAATAATCGCTTATTCTGTTCGAAATTCTGCCGGCAGAATTAGTCCGAGCCTAAGGTATAGTTTGTGCTGTGTGCCCTTCGATTCCCAAAGGCAGCCCTGGTCAACGTCTTGAAAAGTACGGTGTGAAAGTAATGCATCAGTCAATTCCATCTGCGCCCAGCCCCCCCCCCCCCCCCCCGGGC